GGGGAAATCGATCAGCGAACAGCCCAGTCCTCAAAAACCACCAAGCGAGAACAGGATGCCGTCGAACCCTGGAAATTAACCGCAGAAACCCAGGGAGTATCCCGAACACAAGTTATTTTCGGTGAAACTGGAGATCAGAAAGAACAGAATAGAATCCTTGATGGCCATTTTTTCTAGGAGTCAGAAAAGACAGAGTAAAGACGAATCTGTTGCATAGGCAGGTTCTGCAGAATGTGGCTGCGAAGAGTAAGCACCTTCGTTATCAGACACAACTGATAATCGCCGAAATTCTCCTCAACTGAGAACACTGAGCAACGAAGGTTGGGCCTTCAAAAAAGCGAACGAGCGCTCGAGATCCAACAACAATAGCAATGGCGTTTAAAGTGGAGAAACAGCAAAGTTCGGATCGACGGCTAGAGTCTATCTTTACAAACTCATTCTTACTTTACACTTTTGTTTTAACCATGGAAATATTGAAATTCGAGCTTTCCTGTAACTTCGTTCACTGAAGACCCGTTTCTTTCACTGAGGACCCGTAGTAAACCAAGATGTTTTGATGCCCCAAAATAGCATATTGTATTTGTGGGACCTCTTTTCCTCAACCATCAATCTTTTTTTTAAGCCGATAATCGCAGCCACTTACTTTCCTTGAAATCAACCCCCGACTCAGCTGTTTCTGTTACCTTTCCGAACAGACCAGCTAGTCGAGCTAGACACTACTTTCAGTGCCCCTTGCTATTCCCTATGATCAATAAACCCCATGCCATTCAACAACAATGGTGGGAAGCTTTCGCAAAACAACTGAGGACCGTACACTTCAATGAAATTCATAATCATTTCCAAAGTCCAAAAAAAAACTGGCGTTCAGCAACACAATGAGACTGACTCATGATCAGCGGTATGTCCTAATAAGATACAGATCTCTTGCAGCGATATCAAGCCAGACGACTTTACCAGCCACCTGGCAGCAGTTATGTGCAGTACCTTCGATCCGTGTCCTTTCACCGCGAAAAAGATGTTAATTGACCAACAACAACAGCAATGGCATTTAATGTGGAGAAGCAGCAAAGTTCGGATCGACGGCTAGAGTCTATCTTTACGAACTCATTCTTACTTTACACTTTTGTTTTAACCAGGGCAATATCAAAATTCGAGCCTGAGGGATGAAAGGATTCGAGAAATAATGAGCAGTGGAGGATAAAGGCATTGGCGTTAAACAATCCCACAGTTCTGGGATGCATCGCCGCGTCCCATTCCTATTCACAATTATAGCGACGTTTTTCAACGCGTCTGGCCTATACAATGAATTGCGGACGCCAGCCAATGAAGTTAGCGCTTTTAACCTCCCAGAGAGTTTGGTCCAATTAACCGACCCCTGAGGGATGAAAGACTTGGTTGGCCTAGGCGTATATCGATCCGGGATTTGAACCGCGACAATGCGTGTGGTAGATTCGCCACTTGCCAATACACCTTCTCCACCCTATCGTATACCAAGAACCATTCGATCTACATTTCCTCGAAGTGGAAATTCCTCACCACACTGTTTACTTTCTCCCATTACTTTTGATATACTTCATGAGATGTTATCAACGCCGCTCGAGGCACTGGTCTACCCCCAAAATGAGTAATATCAGGCGTCCGAGTTTCGAGGTACAAAGCTTCCTATTCAACTATTCATTACTCATCTTCCTAATCAATAGAAAGCCTACTCAGCAACAGAAGAAGAACGAGCAACAGCGCTACACGCCTCCATTTGGGATCTTTGCCAACATCCCAGGATTCACTATTAAAGGAAAAACACTAGAATTTGGAACTTGGACAAGAGTACGCGATGGGCAGACCGCAGTGGAACCAAAATCGCTCGGAATCACTAGGATTTTCAGAACTCTACGAAAAACGAGCTTTCGGCTTCACGCCTGCAGTGCACGAAACCGAAGACGTATTGACATCGAAACGCCGCAAAATATCAAGATAGTAAACATTTCAGAAAGCGTTTTTACAATGCCTCTGAAGAGCGACGGAAAAACGGAAAGACGACCAAGTGAATCACGACGCACTCACCAGTCAGCACATGCCATAGACGTCTGCAGTCTATACAGGTGAGTCAGTGACCGTTTGATAAGCTAAAGAGATGTGAAAATAACCATACTGGCATGACCCTCCCAGATTGATAGATAACAAATTGTGTGATACTACTGATTGTAGCAGTCGTATGACTCTGTTGGAGTCTAGTCAAGTAACATGAGATGTGGCTTGCAAGTTATGTTCCGAACTTTGAGATGAGACGGTTGGAAATATCAAAGGTCGCCAGCCTTCTAATAAAATCGGAAATAACTTTGCACCCCAACGCCTCATGCACCTTCACGCTACGCTAGAGGTTACGGTAATGATCTGTCCCTAACCTACATTACAAACGTACCACGACTTGATTAGATAGGAATGTCGACGCCTTTCAACTCATGTTAATTGACTTTTGATCGATATAACCTGTCCACCATGACAACAAAAAGAAATTAGCAAATAAAAATGCTTGAATTATGTGACAAGATTTACATTCTATGGAAATGATAGCATCGATGACTCTTTCTTATCGTATTCAAGAAAACTGCACGCGCAGTTTCGAATTCCATGCATTCAAAATTTAGAAATGCAATTATAGCACACCAAAGAGCATAGAAAAATAGTCTTCTCTTTGAATCAGTTGGCGAAGTGTTAAGAGCCCATAAGTAACAAGAGATTTTACTCCAGAAAACCAATGAATCCGTCGAAAGTACGCTGTTTTTTTTTGGACAAATTGACAGCACCAAAAACATACTAGGAAACTTCACGTTTGCGAATGCTAAAAGCACAAATTAAAAGAATCGAAGGAATCATTTCCAAGCGCACAGTGAGAAATATAATGATGACGATTTTGTAAGGGAATATACAACTTGCATCACAAAAAGTACGGATATTTAAAGTCCACGCTATTAGTGACGGGGCAAAATTTTGCGAGACCCTTCTCCGATTACTTCGGAATGACGAAGATCATGTTCGAGCTGGAGATTGTCCTACGGGAAACCAAGAAAAAGAGGAAAGAGGGAACAATATTCTTCCTGAAAATATTTGACTTGCTTTGTCATAAATCTGGATGTTTAATTTTGCATTGTCTTTGTCTGGGCTCTGATGAATTCCATTGAAATTACCAATACATTAATGAGCAGTACCAAACAGTACAAAAAGACTTTTGAAATTGCATCGAATAGATTAATGATGACGAAATGAGGAACATGTTGGAATGAATTGTGCAAATAGAACAAACACCATGGAGGTCCAAACTGGATTCTCGATTGCTGTTTGCGCAAAAAGATCTCTTAGCGTGAAACCAGAA